GAGATGTCCTGTTTCAGCTGTGTTTTTTTTTCAAACAGACCTTGCACTAGGATCTCACTACAAATTTTTCACATACTGCAGCTAGTCATGAAAAGCAAACCAAAGTACTAAAAAAAAAAAAAAAAAATCACAAAAAGGAAAACAAAGTATAAAATGTCATGAAAAGGAAAAAGTGACAGTGTTTTGCAGAAGAGTATGTTCATGCCACTCTTCACAGGATGCTGAACATGACAGCTGCTTTCAGAGGTGAGCATTAAGGCTCTATTACATCTTCATTGAACAAGCAACTCCAATGCTTTCAGGAATTTCTTGTTATTCCTGCCCCAGCAGAAGGGTGGCCTTGCCTCCCTCTAACACCAGCTGCCCTTATGGAGAGTTTAAGCTGATCTGTTTGCCTGTGAATGAGAATAGTGGATGCAGGGACACAAGGATGTCCCAGAGATGGTAACCTCCAGGAGAAAGGAGGGGAAACTGGCAGCAGCAGTCATCTTCAGGGACACATCATGGGCAGGATAAATCTGCCAGAGTCCCCTTCTGCACCATATGGAAAAAGAGGCCTTGGAAGAATTCAGTACTTGATCCTGGTGACCTGGTGAACTAGGGAGAGCACCAAAATTGAAATGCAGGAGTCTTCAGTTATGCCCAGCTTTAAACAAGTTTTAACCTTGTTTCTGTGCTCAGCCACGTGTACACAGTTTTAACTTGCCTTTTTCATATACAGCTGCTCTTTCACAAAGCCAGGTGGCATGCAGGTTTACTGCAAGAGAGATCAAATTTAGTGCTGTTGAGCCTTCACAGAGGAACCCTTGTACCTGCATAAAACACCACTGACTCCAAGAGGTCTCCAGTCAGATCTCCTACAAGTCTATCTCCTCAGACATGACAGAAAGATCTGTGATTTAATTAGTTCTCAAATCAGAATTGTAATGCTTTGGTAGTTTTAATGGGAGGAACAGACGAGCAGAATTAGCTTTAATTATAGACAGTGTGGATTCCTTCACTACTAAAAAGTGAAAAAAAGACATATTTACAGTAAAGGGTAAATAAAGTAATCAATCTCTGTGCCTAGTATTTTAATATGTCTAGCATGTGGATAACTATTGGCACAAGTGTGAAAGGTTAGAAAGGCGGCAACCAGGAAACACCCGAACAATAATCATTATTTATGACCTTAGAAAACTGGATATCACTTACCTAAACAAGAGCTGTAAGTCACTTCTGCTAGATGTGAATCTGCTATGTCTCATTTGCAGCATTTACATCATAGATTAATCATTATTTAATCAAAATGTGGCAAGAACACTTCTTTTTGGATCTTATCTTTCATGTTTGATACCAAGAAACCTTGTTTAAAGCTATTCTACATAATTTGTGCAACCACTTTCCAGTGGGTGGGCGAGAAGGGTATGGAGTTCAAGTACGGATTTGGGAACAGTCACTGAAAAAACCAAAAACATCTCCCTGTTCTGCCAACTCATGCTGTTGCTGTATTTTCAAAGCTGTTAATCTCCTTCTCCTGACTTCCAAAAGTGCAACTCTTATTTCAAAAGAAAGTAAACTGGTGCAATTTTCCTTCAATTAGTCAATTAGTTAGTTCCCTGTGTACAACCAGAGCACTGCACTGTGGCCTTTCTGTCTGCTGGAGATCTAAGTGTTTTCTTAGACTGACTTCCTAAGGAAAGGAGGCGTACGCAACCATATTAGAGCTAGGGTTCCTTACTAATAACTGTGAAAGACACTGGCCATATTTGTACAGCCCTATTTGACAAAGTGGCAGAAATACCAGAGACATCTTTACAATGCTGTGTCCAGTTTTGGGCCCCTCACTACAAGAAAGACATTGAGGTGCTGGAGCGTGTTCAGAGGCGGGCAACGAAGCTGGTGAAGGGTCTGGAGAACAAGTCTTATGAGGAGCGGCTGAGGGAACTGGGGTTGTTTAGCCTGGAAAAGAGGAGGCTGAGGGGAGACCTTATCGCTCTCTACAACTACCTGAAAGGAGGTTGTAGTGAGGTGGGTGTTGGTCTCTTCTCCCAAGTAGCTAGCGATAGGACAAGAGGAAATGGGCTTAAGCTGCGCCAGGGGAGGTTTAGACTGGAAATTAGGAAAAATTTCTTTACGGAAAGGGTGGTCAGGCATTGGAACAGGCTGCCCAGAGAGGTGGTGGAGTCACCATCCCTGGAGGCGTTTAAAAAACGGGTAGATGTGGCACTTCGGGATATGGTTTAGTCTGGTCTACCCTTGATTAGTCTAGAGTGGGCTTGGTAGTGTAGGTTAATGGTTGGACTGGATGATCTTAAAGGTCTTTTCCAACCTAGATGATTCTATGATTCTATGATTCTATGAATGCCCCGAGGTTTGCTAAACTAGGTGGTCCTGGGAGAAGAGAAAGTCATTATTTGTCTTACATGGCAGGCAAGCTGCAGTGCTGCCCACGTTATCCTCACAGAAAGGAGTATATACAGGAGAGCACGCTTAAAAACCTCCCCAGTTACACTGTAGGACAACACAAGCAGCCTGCAGCTGGCAGTTTACAACAGCTCACAACTGTCATCAACAGTTAGCATAAGTAAATTATGATTGACTCTGCTCTCTTCCCAAGTAAATAATGAGAAAAGCGGTTATTAACATGTGACTTGAGACTCCCTCGTTAGGTGAGCAGGGGCTAAGGAAAGCCAGGGGAAGAGTCCTTGGAAAGACACAGAAAGACATGTAACTCCCAAGCGAGGAAAAAGAGCCACTGAAGAAAGCAGAGGCACTATCCACCTGAAACAAAGACCAGGGGAGATTAGAGAAGGGGGCCAGAACAAGGACCCTATGTATCGTTTGAACTTAAAGCTGAATCCCCATGGACCTTTGAGTTCAGGTTCCTGAGACTCCTGACCAATGAACTGTTATTGGCACCTACATGTTCCTGCTCAGCTTTGTCTAGTTGTACATTTTTCTAGTTAAGCTTGTCTGTTAGAGTATGAACTATGTTACTTGACAGCTCAGATGCTAACTACTCAGATTTATAACTTTATCAGCAGCAGGAAAAATCTAAATCCAAGATTGCAATCAACCACAAAACACAAATCCTTAAAAAATAAAACAGACTACCTTATTTTCAGGGCTTTTCAACCTACTTATACCCACAAAACTAGAAGTAAGACAAATCAGACAGAATTCAAGGCTTGAGGGCCCTGGTCTCTACTCCATCTGACACCACAACAACCCACAACAGAAAATTTCAGTTGGGCAGCTTTACTGAGAGCAGCAGTTCTACACAGGTGCCTCTGCAAACAGACTAACCCAGTGGAAAGTGCAGTCTAAGTGGTGCGACTCGATAGTGCGATGGCTTTCAGATCCCACATCAAGGCTCAGAAAAAGCTTTCTTGCAACCTGAAGGCAAAAAGAGGGATAGTAAATGGTGTCTTCAGAAACTGCTTTGAAATGATCACTTTTCAGAACTTAACTGTATTTACTCAGTCCAGCAGCTTTCAGTAAGACATCACACAGGCTTCAAATCCTCCACACAACCCCAGCCCTGCACAGTGGAGGCAGACATTGCAATTCTGCTCTTCCTCTTGGGCAGCCTGCCTGCCCCAGGCCCTGTAGAGACTGACGCGTTTCCAGTGTCCACGGCTCACTGAAGGTCTCATCTGAGAGTCCTAGGAGCGACGCAAGAGCTTGAACCCCATCATCTAAAAAAATGATCTGAGGGCTGGAGCACCTCTCCTATGAGGCCAGGCTGAGGGAGTTGGGGTTGTTCAGCCTGGAGAGGAGAAGGCTGCAGGGAGACCTTATTGCGACCTTTCAGTACTTAAAGGGGGCCTACAGGAAGGATGGGGACAATCTTTTTAGCAAGGCCTGTTGTGACAGCATAAGGACTAATGGTTTTAAACTAAAGGAGGGTAGATTTAGACTAGACATTAGAAAGAAATTTTTTATGCTGAGGGTGGTGAGGCACTGGCAGAGGTTGCCCAGAGAGGCGGTGGAGGCCCCATCCCTGGCAACATCCCAGGCCAGGTTGGACGGGGCTCTGAGCAACCTGCTCTGGTTAAAGCTGTCCCTGGCACTGCAGGGGCTGGGCTGGGCGATCTCTAAAGGTGCCTTCCAACCCAAAGCATTCCATGATTCTATGATCTAAGTTTCTCAATTAATCGCACATATGTAGGACATCGGTGCTCATGCCACAACAATGTAAATCCATATTGTGAATGAAGGTCTGGTGACATGACATTTAAAATGGAAATACAAAGCTGTTACTGATTTTTCAGGGTATTGTTTGGATCACAAATCTAGCTTCATTCTAACACTCCTTCTGTATATAACTTTGAGCGAATGAAGCAGAAAGTAGCCTCAAACTAGCAATTAATTTTGCGTATTGCCTCTTTTCTGTGTTGCCTAAATTAAACTAAAAATCACGATTACAATGAGAAAAATCTATTAGACAATGTATATCTGACAAACAGTTGCACGTTTAATAGACTCATTTTCCACTCAGAACCGGCTAACAAAAAAACCAAACCAAAACCAAACCAAAAAACCCCAACAGCAAATAAGATCTGGAATCAAAAGCCTTTCACATTCTCCTTTTAAATCTGTCAGAAATGGTTACAGACATGGCCAGGAACACTGTAGTGCCCTTATTTATCTTACAAGTTTAAGTACTTTCTCAGAAGAATAATAGAAACCTCAGTAGTAGGCACCATTAATATTAGAAAGAAGCTATACATTTTGGTGAAATTCCAACAGTATTCTGTAAGCTACTGACCCTTATTTGTGGTATATTCCAGAAAAGATTACAGACTTTCAAACTCGCATGACTGCAATGGCTGCTGTATGTGTAAAATGATCAAAAATTGATGCCTACCTACTGCCCCAAAATTTCAGAAAACAGGCTTTTTCTCAATTCCAGATTGAACAAAACTTTGCTTAAAAAAAAGTCATCATAGTATAGTACAAACTGGTTAAGTGAGTCTACAACAGGATTAACTTCTTAAAGCTAAGCAAAACGTTTATCAATATCCCAAGACAGATTCATCCCAAAGTAGCTCCTCTTCTCTTTTGACACCTGTCTGTGGCTTCTTTTTATCCTTTTTGTGCTTTTTGCTCTCTTTCTCAGCAGGGTTTTCTTTAAGTCTTTTGTCTTTATAAGGTCTTGGTTTCTTCTCATTTACCAAGTCTATGTCAAATTTAATTCTCTTTTGCTTCTGATTTTCTTTTCCAAAATCTGCACCTTCAATATTTTCCTTTCTTTTCTGCTTTGTGGCTTCTTTCTCATACTTCAGCTCTTCACTGATGAATTTTTCTTCCTCAAAATATTTTATCTGAAATTTCTGTTCTTTTCTGTAGGAGCTGGTAGAAGTTTCAGCAAGCATAAGTTCGTAGCAGTCTTTAGATTCTGCAGCTGATAGGCTGAAGCTGTTATCTCTGATGGTGGCCACCTCAGATGCTTGCTCTGCTTGCTCTTCTTTACAGTACCCCTTGTTACAGTGACAATTAGGTGTCTTTTCTACTGCATGCTCACAAGCTGATGGCCAGCTTGGTGATCTATTTTCCCCAGTATTTGTAGGTGACTGGGTTTCTGAGAAAAGGCTAGAATGCTGGCCTTGTTCACACTTAAAGTTTGAAGATATAACCTCACCAGGGGCACTTCCTCCTTCAGTGTTTTTATCTCTAAACTCTTCCTCTTCTGCTTTTCCTAAATACCTTCTTGGCTCTAGACCTCTAGCTTTCTGAACTTTAATGCAGCCTGTTAATTCATCTTGAAAGGAGTCACATGTTTTCTTTGATTTCTTCGATTTCTCCATGAGACTGACAAGCACTGCTTCTCTGCATAAATTGGATAGAAAGTCTTAGTTATTAATACTGACCAATTTGCTTCCCATCTGTTGAGTTAAAAAAAAAGTTGTATTTCCAGAGTTAGAACAAACATATTTCAAGTGTGCTGTTCTGTGTAACTACATGGACCCTGTTACACACAATCATAGCTGTAAAGCTGACATTACAGTGAACAGATTCTACTCTTTGTGAAAACTGAAAATCCGGAATAACTTCATGAAGACCAAATGAGTTTCTTGTGACCTAGGGTGCTGCAAGAGTAAGATGCTTTTAAAATGACTGCATACATTTTAAAAACTACCTTTTAAAAAGAAAATTTAAGATTCTCTCTTATTAATTAATCTCCAATTAGCTGCAGATAAGAAGCAATTACATTATATACTGTCAAGTAATAAAGTTACTAATTTCTTTATGAGATTCATTCTATTGAACAGTTGCAGAACAGTAATTTCAGACAAACTGTTTGACTCCACAGCAGAAACAGAACAGAAACAACCAACCTGATTGCTAAAAACCCAACAAGATAAATGTGCTCTTAAGGAAAAACTACCTATCAGTTTATATTCTACTCTCCCTTTCCTCAGGCTGGAAGATAAAGTGGTTAGATGACAAATATATCCCCTGTGGGAAGGGCAGCTCCAAAGACCCATCCCTTAAATGTATGTTGTTCTGCCTTAATTCACCAGCTTTATACATTCATTTTTTAAATGATAGATAGGCCTGTAGCAGTTCCCT